TTAACCTGGATTACTGATAATTAGAGGACGTATGGAGTTAACCTGGATTACTGATAATTAGAAGACGTATGGAGTTAACCTGGATTACTGATAATTAGAAGACGTATGGAGTTAACCTGGATTACTGATAATTAGAAGACGTATGGAGTTAACCTGGATTACTGATAATTAGAAGACGTATGGAGTTAACCTGGATTACTGATAATTAGAAGACGTATGGAGTTAACCTGGATTACTGATAATTAGAAGACGTATGGAGTTAACCTGGATTACTGATAATTAGAAGACGTATGGAGTTAACCTGGATTACTGATAATTAGAAGACGTATGGAGTTAACCTGGATTACTGATAATTAGAAGACGTATGGAGTTAACCTGGATTACTGATAATTAGAAGACGTATGGAGTTAACCTGGATTACTGATAATTAGAAGACGTATGGAGTTAACCTGGATTACTGATAATTAGAAGACACATGGAGTTAAACCTGGATTACTGATAATTAGGCTTTGAACAACCTGGCCCTGGTGTTATTTACAATCAATTCCCATTGGTCAAAATTCATTCCTGCAATGGCATAAGGCTCTAATGTATAATAATGAATTGATAGTGTTTACACCAATAAAAGTCTCACCTTAGCACTTTTATATATAATCAACATGCCTGGTCTAACCACACACCAGTATCGAGCCCAACCTCTAAGAGAACCACGAATCTGAAGTGGAACACAGCAAATTAGTTAAAACAGGAGTATGATATCAAGAACTACACCAACTGGATTGTTTGTAATGTTTTATCTAACATATTTTATTAAAAGATTGCTGCTTGGTTGGATGCAATGTCTTGTTTTTTTTAATGACTTTAAAACTGTCCTTTAGTTATTTATTATGTGGGCTTCCTGTGGAAGACCACGTCTAAAAATACCAGTGGACTTTTCTCTGTTGTCGTTATGAATATTACGCACATGGTCTGCAGTCTCAGTTTCCATGGGTTTTCAAAATTAAATCGATCTGCTCTTTGATATGTATTGTTTTGTACATGACTCGACCTCGTGCCCTGATTTCGATATCTACAGCTGATTTGTTTATAAGCTGTGAATGTAAATCATATGACAAAACCGAAGACTGTAGTACTATATAGTTCAGTTCGGTAAAAAATAATATGTAATAAAGATGTAAATTACTATTATTGACTTAATTCTGTCTTGAACTATTTCAAACAAAGACTCTATTGTGAAAATGAACATTGTCTCAGCTACAGGAAGACCACATAAGCGATCTATGAGCGACTAGTTTAATTATAAGACTAAATATAATCCCCCTTTCCTCTAATGCAATGTTCTCATTATCAGACCATCACAAAATAGCATGTCAGGCTCAAGTGATGTTGTTTACAACTAGGAAATAAGGATATTTGTTCAAGTTAACAAATTATCTGCTGACATTTTCCTTTTTTCTTTAAATCTTTGTAGAATAAAACAGATATTGAATGTAGCGATAGTCAAACTTATTCCAGTTTACATATTATTACTACTACACAACCACCTGAGATAAACCTTTACCACTGCAATGAGAAATAGATATCTGCCAATTATCTATAAGTGCCTTTAGCACATTCCACTGTTTTATTTGATTGATAGCAGTCTATCAATTGCCTTTAGCAGGCATGTCAGAATTATGTGCGGATGCAGACGCGCATAATTGCTCCCTTTCTGCATAATTTACCAAATCGCACATACATGTAATCACACAAAGTTTATGATTTTTTTCCAATTTATAGCGTTTTCAAAAATGACTGGCCTTCTACTGAATGTTTTTTTGGTTCCTTGACTGTATTTTTTTTGGTCAAAAATCAAACATTCTGAATATGCAAGAGTTACATGTATTGATATTCTAGTTTTCAACCTGTTGTGTTGCAGTTTTAACAATGCAATAAACAAATTAATTAATTAATTAAAAGTATGATTGGTTGACATCTACCTTTAGATATGATGATAATATTGTAACTGATGGGTCAGTCAACGCACTTGATAATTCTTTAGACCTTTTCTTTTGTTCTAATCTATATGTTTTCTTGATTTCCTGTTTGGAAAAAAATGGATTTTGTCACTCTCTACTCTTATAAGAAAGTAATTAGTTTATAATACAGTCCAAACACTAAAACCATTAAACACTTTAGTAGTTAAACTGTCCTGGATTATGTGAATTCCTTTGTTTTCTATTGTCTACACTATATTGTATCATAATTAGCTCAATTTTTCACAGTTTTAGTGCTTTGACTAGCATTTCCTACAAACACCTCTATTTTCAGTGCACAACAAAATGAATCATAATATAATATTAGACTCACTTTGAGTGATTCCTTGGTCTGACGCCTGCCCATGGCTGGTGACTTGTCTGAAAATTTTTTATCAATTGAAACCTGAAAATTTAGACAATTAAAACACAATTCATTAGTTGATAAATAATAATCAAACGTAATAATCAATTTACTACAAACAAATCACCCATTCAATTTTGGAAAATATAAACTATCAAATGTTCAATTACCAACAAACCAAATAACTTTGTACCTAATCAACCAAAATGTATAAATGAATTATTCAAATATTCAACCCACCAATCAAACCGCCAACCAACACACTCATAACACAACAGTCAACCATCTAAAACCCAATAAATACCCCACTACTTAACCAAGGGCAATCAAACAATGGACAAATTAGCCTAGACAAATACCAATAACAATATATATTTAGTAAGTAACCTTATTTGAATCCTTCTTCTCCATAGTAGTATTTGACTGTAGATTTGTTGTTTCAAGGTTTAGACTCTCCTCATCTGGTACTAAATAAAAATCAAGGAATTGTTGAAAAACATAATTCAGATAATAGTTCAGATAATATCTAGATTCTTGATAGAATACCAGATGCAGTGTGTCCACAATGCACTAAGTCAAACTGATACATTTATCGATATTGTTATATGGTATTACTTTGTGAGATAAATTTGAGGGTAGCATTTATTAGAAAATGACATTACACACATTACCACCAATAAAATCTAATTCCAATAATTATGGGGAATTGGTGTGTTGCATGTGACGTCATACTCAAGCAAAAAATATCGACAAATCCAAGATATTTTTTCTAAAGAGCTCTTCTTACAGTATATCTTAAATATACGTCTAAATAGTGTGTATATGCAAATTTTCATACGAATTCAACGCTTTGGTGGCGAAACACAAAAGTTTTAGTTTGCGCGGAGTTTAATTTATTCTACCGTAGATCGTAAATAAAAACTTCGAGATTAGATAAATCATTCATTCAACTCCGTAAGAACTTACTTAAGGTGATTTTTCTTTGAAATAAAGTCATAATTGACCAAAATTTACAAAGGAAACCACTTTTTAAAGTTAATTTGAAATCAGACGCCATCTTGGATGATCAAAGTTATCATCCAAGATGGCGTTCCCATACATATTAACCAAATTTTTCAAATCTTTATTCGCTTATATCTTCATCGAAAAGTAAGCTACAGGACTAAAAGCTCGTATTCTAGATAATTTGACTATGCTCTTTATGACTTGCTACTTGGTTTTTTAAAATAACGAATAATAACGAATGATAAATTTTCAGTTCAGGGGTTGCAACCCAAGAATTACACTCAGTTGAAGAAGTGCTGGCAGCTAACTTATATTAATATATCAATATATAGGGTTGATATAAAAAAATCAAAAATCATCTAAAATTACCCATGATACACCCGATGTAGCACATTTATTTTTCTAAATTATATTATTTGAGATAAATATTTTGTATAAAATTAGTCAAATAGGTGGTACATAGATTGGCTGCTGGATTAGCTATAAAATAATGTGTTATAATGTCATAATGTTATCACTGTTATTCACATTGATTTAATGATTATGCAGCTTTAATCCTTCTGGCAAACATAAAAGTGTTGTGTTGTGACTACTATTGGTGGAAAAATGTACAAAACTGAATGATGTGTTTTCATGTCCACCCAATATACTTATTCCTACACAAAGCTGTATATAATCACTGTGATAAGCTTGCTGTCATTGAAATGACAACTGGAGTATTAATACACAGAATCAAAGACACATTTTGAACTCTCTGATATTAATCAAATAGCATTCATACATTGAATATTAGTAAGAATATTGTATGAGCATTATAGTTTTATCAAAATGTTTGTACTTTATTGCACCTGTGAAAACCATAAAATTTGAACAGAAAATAAGAGCTTTTAATGTTATGATTTTTGGAGATTTATTTTAAGGCTTAAAAGGATTACATATACACTGGGAAATATGGCATAGTTCTGTGCATTTCAAGACAAGGGTCATTCAGAGAGCCTAAATAAAGCAAGGCGAGAGAAAGTACCACAATGACCAAGGCTACATGTTTGTGCAAAACCTACATGCATATAGTATCTATGTGATTTGTATGTGCAAATAAAACTAGAAAAAAATGGATTTTTTTGCATGCTAGTTGCATAAGTACACCCCAAACAAACTAAGCAGTTATCAGATCAAAATAATGCAGGAAATGCCTGGACAACAATGCAACAAGATTATATGTTCCTTGCAAGGACACTTAAGACTTGAGCTTCGGATTACTTAAAGATCCACATTCTCCTTTGAGTATTCAATCAATTTGAAGGAGAAATGTAGATTTTGATCATTTGAATCTATAGTCTTCTAGAATGTATTGTTAATACAGCTGGTATGTAAATCAAATAATTAAATATTCTATATCATGACTACAAGTAGTGGACTAGTCTTCCTTTTGAGAAACCAAGCAAAAAAATCAGATTTGGAAAAATTATAAATAATATAATGAAGAGTTTTAGAGATGAGTTACCTTTGCGCTTCTTTGGACTTTTCCGCTTTGACATTTTGGATTTAAAACTGCCTTCAAGTAGGTATTATATTCTAATCTCTGTCAAGTCAAAATGTTTCTACACTGCAGAACAATGGTGAGCTAGACACTACGCCTAAGGTTGACATGAGATGGGGCTAACATCTTGTAAGTATGTTTGTATTGTCTCTGATAAAATTCCTTGTTAATTATACAGAATGTTAAGTTCCAATAACAGAAGAAATGAAGGAAAGATTATTTTTATTTTCAAAACCAATAGGTAAGCAGCTATCAATAATGTAAGAAAGATGTCAAGCTGTGGTACAAAGACATCAAGATATGATCCTTGATATTGATTTACTTCTCTTTTTAGTCCATACTCAAAACTTTATGGATTAAAGAATTTTGTATATGAAGAACACTTTTGAATAATTTTGAATTTACAAGGAATTGGTACAGCTATTAAAACAGAAACTAAACTGTTTGAATATCTAAATTACTTGCATAATTAAAGAATTACCAATGGAATGTTGACTAAATTAGCTCTGTTAATACAGACAACATTTTACACAGGCAATATTCAAGGTGTTACTCACAATAAACACAAAAATAACATTAAATAAATTTGTCATTAATAAAAATAACAATGATGACAGATTACCCTTCTAGATGAATTGAACAAAAATGATAAATGCATTGAAAAATAACTTCAAATTGTAATAAACTATTGATATCATATCAACATATCAAAATTATTGTAAAACAAATGGCAATAAATTAAAATTTTCTATAACATTTTTAAACAATAGAAAAATAGTACAAATGACAAAAAATGAACATTTGAACAACAGAGTGCTTTTAGTTAAAGCATGAAATGTTAGTAATTGCTATTTTATACTATGCTTATTCTTTTGTTAAACTAGCACTACATACATCTACTTACAGAAACGTTGTCATAGAAAATAGAACATTCGAATTTAGTAAAAAGGAATAAATTAAAACAAGACAATTAGAAAGCGTTCAGCCTCAGTGATCTTCCTTTGTATTTTTAATTTATTTCTTTTTACTAAAATACAAATGTCCTATTTTTTATGACAACGTTTTCGCAAGTAGGTGTATATATTAGGTAAATACATCCACAGATGATTTTATGATAAACAGAATATCACATGGAGATAGGGACTTCATCGTCTTGTGATTGCTCTGCTCACTTGTGAGGAATCTTTTAAATACTTGATAAAAATCTTTATCTCTGTGTACTCATGTAATATCCTCTATATATGTACTTATTATTGTACTTATCTTTTGTATTATTTTGCTATAGTACACTTTTTGTCAAACTATGTTATTTATCTTTTACTACTTTGAGCTAGACTCRTTTTCATCCGTCTGTGAAATAGGAATTGTACTATTAAATACTATTACCCCCTATTAGCTCCCAATAGTTTAACTTATGACATGTGACAAACTAATTAGGCAAACATGGTTTTGATTTTGCCTTAATAGTAAGTTACTATTAAACACTTACGGATGATAATGACTCTATTAGAGTACCCTTACTAAAAGCATGAAACACAAACCACTAAATTGTACGAAATAGTAATGGGTAGTTCCAGAAAATATCCGTACCATACGACGGGCGGCATTTCAGAAATCCAGAGGGGAGGGGGGGTCATCGATTTGGGAATTCCAAAGGGGAGGGAGGCTGAACGATTTCGGAAATCCAAAGGAAGGGGGAGGGGAATTATAGACATATTATGTCTTATAGAAAACGACCTTCGACACCTTCAACCGGTAATTACGTTGATCACGATTTACGAGTCGAAAAAATCACTATAAAAACGTTTGAAAACCACGACAAAAACATCTAAAACTGTATATGAATTCAAAATACGTAAATTGAAAGCAACGCAGCTTATTCTCGAGTCATTTTAACAAAGTTTAAAGCATCTGCATGGGTCCGTGATCGCCGATTGTAAACAACATATGGTCAGCGGTTTCTTGACAGAAATTAATGGCGTCTCGGTCGTCTTGGTCGCAGATCACAATGCGTAGTATTTTTTTCTTGCGAGTCTCACTACTTCGAACACTTGTTAATAGAAATTAACTATACAAGGTATAAGATAAGTAATTCCAACGGAAATGATTTTTGCGTGTTTTTAAGCACTTCCACGAATCTAGACGATGCATTGTTTTCAAACGATCTGACAGTTTTACGATTGCGTTCTCTAAAACAGTGCTTGTTTTGAAGAGAATATGTATTCTCATTCATTTCCAAGGGGGGAA